GTGACGCTGACAGTGACAGTGACGGTGACAGACTGTGGACAGTAGTGAGGAGGGCACGCACGCGGGAGCTCTGTGCTGCTGGGGTGAGGGCTCGGACCGTGAATGCGCTAACACGTATATCACGATAATCACGTGAAAGCATCGGTGTGTGTGCACCCGCATGCGAGTCCTCCAGCGTCCCTCGCAACGCGGTTTGAACGCGAGCACTCTTGCCCACTAGCTCGCAGGGGTTTACGTGCGCCTGCTCGTCAGCCACCCTCGAATTCGGTATGCATGGATGCAAAACGGCCACATGAAAGGCTAATCCAATATGCCCCCGCAGTGAACACGCAAGCTTTGCAGTTTCGAGTGCAGTACAAACAGAGCGAGAAAAACTTGTAATGTTAGGAAAGGCAACATCGGTCGCAGGAGAGTAAAACTGAAGAGGGATGCGCGCTGCCCCTGGGATATCGCGAGCTGTGTATGTCCAATAAGCAACGCGCTAGAGTGAACTTGGGTATAGGAGAGTGGAGAGCCTGATGAGAAGGAACTAGCGTGTTGTCTGGACTGCAGGAGAAAACTGGGGGAGGAGTGGTTGTCTCAGTACTGGCTAGGAATGCAGATGACGGCTGACCTATCGCTGAGCATTCAGTTATTAAGACTATTCAGTTTATAAGATAAAATAACGTGGCGAATGCGCGTTAATTTTGCCATTTAATGTTTCGCCTGCAGTTTATTCAGTCTCTAAGTGCTTGATCGTTCGGTTTTATCGCGTGCTTATCAGTGTGATTGCGACTGCTTGCAGCGAACATTTGAACGCCGTGAGCAACTGATGACTTGCCTTCTCGGAAATGAAAAGTTGCACGAAAAAAAATCCACTATGCTATCTCGCACGGTGAACTCTACTAGTGACAGGCAACAACAAGAACAACATCTGGTCTTGGTTTCTTAGCACATGAGAATTTCGAGTAATTGACGGGAGCTACCGATAAGTTGTTTCGCTGCGAATGGCGCCACCTATTGCTGGTAACAGATTGGCGACCGGAGAGCACTGCTGTGACATGTTCAAAAAATCTCCACGTGATGGATGCTAAAGAATGTGTTTTCTAAGCAAACAATCGTATCTCTATGGGCATCTGAGGGTGCATGTGCTGCACCGTACACCCCAGCCGCAATCCATCCATCCGAAGGCAGTTATACATATATATAATATATATATATATATATATATATATACACACGCGTACAAGCACGCACACACACGCGCGTGCACACACACGCACACACACACACACACACACACACACACACACACACACACACACACGCACACACGCGCACGCGCGCGCACACACACACACACACACACACCGCCTCCGCCATAAGTGACTCTACATGTGAGACCAGCGTAGTACTAACGTTTTCGTTTTCGGCTTCGTTCTTTTCAGTATATAGAAGCGAGTTGGCGAACAAGCGAACATACGAGAGAAGGACGACGTTACAGTTCATGCCTATCAGCAGTCGAGGCAGAGATGAAGAGTGAGCGTGCGTCTGAAGTCAGGAGAACTCGATTAAAGATGGCGACGTCCGGGCATGTGCTGTCATCGCTAGTCGTCATTCTACTGGCCTGCCAGTCTCACGCGATGGATATCGGTAAGTACCTGATATAATTATGTAGTGACAAGCAAACCTATCGTATACATGGCTGCCGAGGAAATTACGCCAACTGGTAGCAACGCTAATAATGGGGTTATCGATGTATATGTGTCGTTACGTCGTTCCAGCAGTAAATAATCACACATTTGTGATTATTTACTCCTGGTAGTTCTGATATATATATTTGGTTAAAAACCATTGTATATATATATATATATATGTGTGTGTGTATTTATTTATATATACATATATACACTTATTTATTTGTTTGTTTGCTTGTTTATTTACTTATGTATTTATGTATTTATTCATGAATATTAGAGGGGAAAGGCTGTCGATGAAATGCTGTATTTCGCAGTATGAATATTGCGTCTTAGTTCCATTGAACACCTCTCCTAGAAAGGATCTAACTATGACGTCATGAGATCTAATTATAGAAGCACTAGTGAAGGATCTAACTATGATGTCATGAGATATAATTATAGAAGCACTAGTGAAGGATCTAACTCTGACGGCATGAGATCTAGTGACGGCAGACAAGCACTAGTGAAAGATCTAACTATGATGTCATGAGTTCGGATCTAATTATAGCAGCATTAGTGAAGGATCCAACTCTGGCGGTGTTGGTTAGGGTATATGTTAGGGTCTATCTATAATGGTGCTGTTAACCATCTATCTACAAGCTTCGCCGATGCTCATACCCAAGCTAGAATCCGTTATTATATGTCTACATAAAAGGACTCTATTATGCTGCTAGCATCCTAAAAGGACCCTATGGCAAAGCAGCAAAAGGACCCTAACCCTAACCCACGCCAAAACTGACGAAGCACCGTCTCGAAACGAATCCCGAGGTGCATAGAATTGCGCGCATGCACGCGTCCATGCACGCGTAACCTATTTATTGTCCAATTAGTAAACGAATGTCGAAAATTGAGCTACTTATAGGCGTGTGACATGTTCCTGTGGAGAAGGTACGGGCGACTTCCATAGACAGGCTTTTCATAAAAGACAGGGAGTTCCAATTATAGATTAAGTTAATTGCCGAGGAGGTACTTTTCAGCTGGAGTAAGTCAGTCATGTCACCCCATGCCAGGGGAAGAAATGGGTATGGGCAGAAAGGGGCAGATGGAGGTACACCCTATACTGTCCGGGTACTTACCACCCCTCGGGGGGAGGCTAACCGTCCATCGTCGAGGGAAAAACCAGTAACTCGTCGGGGAACGATCAGCGAAATTGTATGCAATCTATAGCGTTTAGCCGGTCATAGTAACTTACGAAAACAATTAACAGGGTAAATGCCTAATTTATCTATACATAATATATGATAGATTACAATAAATCAATAGTTATCGTTTGCTCCTAAAAATCGATTAAGATGACACTTTAATTATTCAAATTTGTGAAAAAGTAATTCGTGTCCCCCTAGCTTTATATGTAGTATTTCGCCACTTATTCGCAATGTGGGTTTAGCTCCCCTTCCGCCGCCGGGTATCTTATCACCTTATCACTCTTCCTTCAGTTGGGCATGCATGTCCTTCCTCCGGCGCTATGCCGGACGATCTCTCTTCTTAACGCCCTTGCACAACAGCGCATCACAGCCGGGTCATCGAGTCGTATGATAGCATCATTTTCGAATTGTCGGCGATTGACTGCCACGAGAGCATTTGAAATCGATTCGCTCGACGCGGGGCAGTGTCGCTTGCCATGCGGGACATCACAGGAGGGAGAGGGTGGAGTAAGAAGCAGAGAGAAAGAATGGGAGAGAGGGGGAGAGAGTGGGCGAGAGAGAGAGAGAAGGGGGAGAGGGATATAGAAAGAGGACGGGATAGCGGAGACAAAAAGGGAGAGAGTGAGCGAGAGAGAGAGGGAGCGCACGCGAGAGAGACAGAGAGCGCGCGAGAGAAGGAGAGAAAGAGAGCGAGAGAGGGCGAGAAAGAGAGCGCGAGCGAGAGAAAGAGAGAGAAAGAAGAGAGAAAGAAGAGAGAGAGAGAGAAAGAAGAGAGAGAGAAAGAAGAGAGGCACTATCGACGCGTCAATGACTCTGTACTCGAGGACTCCAGGAATCTGTCGCAGCCAGCTGATGCTAGCGTGAGTCACATCAGCCTTTGTCCACGCTCACCACGCTCGCTACTCCTCTGCCTTTACAAGCCATGACGCTCCTCCTGACTCCGTCATTATTTTTTCCTCCGCACATTGGCGCTCGTGGCGCGAAGGAAGGGGTTGAAGATTAGTCAGACAGAGTAGCATATTGTCGGCTGGTTAGCGGGTCACTGACAAGGTTCAGGCGTGGATGAATCACGTCGCATCCCCGCATCTCGCCCGGAATGCCGAGTAACGACTTGTTTTCACGCGTGCGACCTCGCCGCGCTGGTGTCGCCGCTCCCGGTAAGGGCTTCATTATGAGCGGACGTGATGGTATCTTACAATAGCTGGTCCCGCGGCGCGACGATGATATAGTGAGCATTCAACGCCGGCGTCGATCCACGGCGGATATCCTCTCATTGCTGTACGAACGACGTCGGTCTCCGCGTCTGTGTGTGATGCAGACTCGCTCACGCGTGTGGCTTCTACAGGGAGCTCGCATCTCGCGACATCCTTTTCCTTCACATCCCACATCCATCTCCTCGCATCCGTTTTGCTTCCGGTGGGAAGCTGCAGGGCTTACTGACGTCCTGTATTAACACATCTCATCACAACGTTTTATATTTATTGTAGAACACTCTCTCCTTCCAACCCAACCCTTCTCTCTACTCTTGGTCTGTCGCTTCTCTACGTCGCTCGCCTTTTTTCTTTCGTTTTCCTATCTATCTCTCTCGTTTTTTATTTCTGTCATGTGTATACTTGTTCTTTATCACTCTCTATGTGTTTGACCGTCTGTATATCTGGTTGCCTGTCTGTCTGTCTGCCTGCCATTCTGTGCTAGCTCTTCTCTCTCTCTCTCGCTCTCGATCGAGATTCACTCACTCACTCACTCACTCACTCACTCACTCACTCACTCACTCACTCACTCACTCACTCACTCACTCACTCACTCACTCACTCACTCACTCACTCACTCGTTGGCAGCAAGCTACCCGCCAAGTGTCGCGAATTCATGGTATTTTCCGCAGCCGTTGATTGAGAGATCATTTTCTCCCGCGCAGGCAAAACGTAATCTCGCGGGAAATAATTCTACGACCAGAAATCAGATTCCGTGTTCATTTGAGCTGATGAGGTGCCAATGCGATTTTACATCATGGCGATGATGACGGTAAACGCGACATGGGCGCGCCAGAGAAACCAATCGGTGGTTGGACCTATGAATTTACGAGTTGTTTTACCGGAAGGTAAAAACCCTTCCACATCCGTGTTGACAATATTTTGGGCCGTGTTCATAAAATACGTACCTATGAGATAGTGACCCACCTCCAGCGCATGGGATGAGTTGGCTGAATCGTATGCTGAGTAAACTGCTCAACGTTTTGTGTGTCTCGCTTCGTATCTCTATCAGTCACTGCATGTAACAGGAAGTTTGCAGATTTATGCGTGTAATCGCGATTTTAGTTTGCCAGTGGCAGCCATTCACCTCCTATAAGAGGATGAATTCTCATCGCTAGAAACTCGTTCCAGCCTGTCTTCAGCTGTTGTCCAGCAACTGCAGTTAAATTCAGAAGTCGGATTGAAAGCAGACGGGTAAATCAGTATGTGATGGCAGGTGGCGCCCTCTGTGGGTGCTGCGCTAACACACGCATCACTGCCTCGCCCCGTCCTCTGCCAGGCTGCCCCGTAGCTTGCCGCCTGGCAGTCCGCGCCTCCTAACCAGGCAGCTGACCCTTTCGTCCTAGTAGCATCCTTCCCCTAGCCTAGCAGCTACTACCTCCATCCTGGCAGCCCCTTTCCCTCTATTCCGGCAAACCCTTTCCCCTAACCCGGCAACCACCCCCTCCACCATTGCAGCTGCTCCCCCCCCCACCATCCTATCAACCCCCTCCTCCTCTATTCCAGCAGCCGTCTTGCCGCCACCCATGCCTAATATTCATTGAGTTATATTACCGGTAACGCGCAGATGTGATTTTGCCGCGTAGCGGACTTTCTCATCACGGCAGAGTTGCGCTTCTATTTAGATTGGTACCAATCGCTACGAGTTGGTTAGGGTAGATGAAGGAGGAAGGAAGGATGGGCAGGAGTTCTGCTGACGACCGCTAGAGGGCGGATCCGTCGTACGGCCGCTATCGCGTCGCTTCGTGTGTGTTCACACATCAGTCGCATCAGTAAACACTTAAGCCAGGCCGTATCCCAGACGCGTTTGCGTTGCTTTACTGATGTGTATACGTAACTATATGCAGCACGTAGCGTAAAGTGAAGAACCGCAAAGAAAAACACGTGTGATCAAAAAACAACCAAATGTGATATGTAAAACGTAAACCTGTGTATGTGTGTGCGCGCGTTGATGGGCGTGCGTGCGTGTGTGCGTTTGAGAATCTCTCTCTCTCTCTCTTTTTTTTTTCTTCTTCTGTTTTCTCTCACTATTATTGTGATTAGTATCAACAACTGCAACGCGTTTAGCATATATGCACGTTTATAGCAACCGAACTATCCCACGAAAAAAATCAATGTCGATTTCTGAACTGACTTCATAATCGAAAAAGCTTTCCTGTGAAATTTCTAAGGGCATATGGCGTCATTGGGGCTTATGTAGGAAGCCGTGCATTAAACAAATTGAACGTTTTTTTTTTATCAGATGTTGTCTAGACATCTAGACGTAGACTGTTTGGCAGCTGTGTATAAATAGCACGCTGTGATCGGCTAGAGGTTTAATTGCGCGTGGTTTCATTCGAAACTAATTCGAAAGTGATTTGTTATTATTTTAGTTTTATATGAGCAGTGTGCCTAGAGCACTGCATGCCTCGACTACTTAACTATGCTCTACTATCAGGAATTATCACTCATTTCAAACGGCTACGATTTTGGGGGGAACTAGAGCTTGTGATTGACACCCGAGCCTAGCACGGCAATTT